GATTTAGGTTTGGGCTTTTCTTTTAGGCGTGAGCTGATTTAGTGCTTTTGGTTTGTCAGTTGACTCTCTCACTGCTAAAACCCAAAGAACGAGACATGGATAGACACCTGAATGGAGCCATTCCCTTCCCATCCAACAAAACACAGTTCGAAGCATTAGAAAAATCACCATAGACTAGTGCTGCACAGGCTTTGGGATACAAGTCACAAACTAGGGCAACAAAAAAATTAACCAAATCTATTTTTATCATTGGCGAAATGATGTAATTTAGGAGTAAAAAGGTCCAATTTACATCAGTAAGTGCCACTCAGAGTCAGGATTGTTAATAAAACTCCATCCTATATCACTAAAACCCTTACGCAGTAGTCATTTGGGCTAAACTGCTATATTTATAGAATTGCATACCACCACTAACATCACTTTTTTCATTATTTCTATTGTTTTTTTTCCTAAACAACAATGCGATGTAATGAATGTATCATTTTATAAAATAAGTTCATTTTGAAACAAGTAGACTGAGATGATCCGCTTCAAAAACCTTCAAATAATAAAGATACCAGGCTGCAAGCTTTCAGGCAGCGGTGAGAAAATAGAAAGAGAGAACAAACCTCGATGAATTATTTAAAAATGGAGCTGAAGCCGTGACCTTTATGAATATGACTCTGCCTGTCTGACTGCAACATTGTTAAGCAGAGCTTTTCCCCTGATTTAATGTCAGAGCTATCTCAGCACAAGGCTGCACACTACTGTAGAGATGACACTAAACCACTGAAAGGGTTCCCTAAAGAGAAGGTGCAGTAGTCATTTATTCACTCATGCATGCGGAGAAATCATAGAAACAAACATGGATGTAATGTAACGGTATTAAACACAACAAGCAGGCTTAGGTTATCAGCTTTTTGTGACTTCTGATAAAGCAGACTTAAGCAGTTTGTAAAAATCTGTTTTACAAAAATCCCAGAAGTGTTAAAGTGGCTGGCTTTACACCCTTAACCTTCTGGAGAGGGAGAGTGTGTGTGTGTGTTTCTTTCTTTGTGCCAAATTACTGTAAACAAAAATAGTGTGACCATACAGTCATTAAATGTTTGACTGAACCCCGGTTAATTGCTGGAGCTCACTTGTTGAGGAGCAACATTTCATAATTACCATTCAGACTTACTTCTACTTTCTTTCCACGCTGTGACTGAAACATGTTTTGAGGATTTTATATTTACGTGAACCTCTGCTCCGTATGGCGAGTGTGACATGGAATCCTTCAGATGTATCACGTGCTATTTTAGAAAGTAAGAGTTTTTCTGGTTAGCACAGGTAGAGACCGTGCTTGACATTCTCAGTGTTTTGATGTCCAAGCAAAGGGCTTTACGATAAAAAACATGCATAAGCAGCAAAAGCATCAGTCCTGACATTCAAAAACTTGACAAAAACACAATTTCCCAGAATGCCCTGGGGCAGATTTGAGCCCAGGGTCATAAAGTCGGAGTTTTTCAAGATGACAGAAGCAGAAATAATGTAACCCTTTTTATTAGAAGACGGTGAAACATGAAGTTCAGTCAGAAGCTCAAGTCTGAATCCCTCTAAAGACTCTAGGCATGACTTTGACTAGCCCTCCAAAGACTTGACATTTAAATTGAACTCGCCCTCAGAATAGTTGGAGCTTGACTTGGACTTGTCCTCTTGAGGACTAGATTCAGACTTTCATTTGGCTTGTCCTTTAAATGTTTGAAAACTGAGTTTTAGAAACCCAATGATAACTACATACTTGACTTGAACTCCTCCTTCTTCTCAAGTCTTTGGAATTGACTTGGATTCACCCTGATTTCAGAATTGACTTGTCTTATCTGCTAAAACTATATGACTTGACTTGACTTGAACTTGTCCGTCAAAGACTCAATTATTGACTTGAACTTGTCTTCTTGAAGTATTAAACCTCTGAATAAGTAAGACTTGACTTTTGCTAATCCTTTAAACAACTGAAAACTGAGTTGGAGCTACCCACTGACGACTCAAGACTTGACTTAAACTCTCTTTTTAAGTCCCTGGACTTGTCTCTACCCTCTGTAGAGCTGTGACTTGATTTGGACTCATCATATACATGTTCAATATAGCAACTCCTTGTAATTACAGTAGTAGCTGTGGAGGAAACGTGTTTATTTTACAAGATAAACTTGTAAGGGTGCATCTAATATCAATGTTATGTACAGTTGTATATTTTCCAAGGTAAATGGAACACACCATGATGTTCATCCTCCCCAGCATAGACGTTAAAGAATGGACGCAACACTAAACACCACTCCCTATGACGGCCGCATTTGCAGGGTCCATGTTTTACAAAGTCTATAGCTAACAGGATGTTTTAGCTAGGCGTTTAGCTCATGGAGATCTGGAGCTCACAAACTACGAGAGCATGCCGTTCATAAACCCCTTCACACACAGAATAAACACGCTCACTTTAACGTTTATCAGGCAAAATACGAGCGAGTTGAGTTCACACTCACAAAAAAACAACCAAGTTCACAAACGATAGTTCATTGAACGCTTTCAGACACAACACTGCCTGTTGACGGCTAGCCTTCCCATGGACGTCCAAAATGTTATAAGTGGAGTTGAGACCAGCGGTTTCAACTTTAATGTTCCAAAAAATTGTCAAACTTATCTTACTGTGGCTTATTTTTTTATTATATCCTAATAAGGTATTTCTAATAATTTAAAACAATATTGGCAAGTTATTTTGATTCTCGGAAGAATCTGCAGGAAATTAGGGGACCCCTAGTGGCCATGTGGGCCCCCACGCCTTTGCGTAGTCGACATACTGCAAGAAACCATCCTGCGTAGTGTTGTGATAGTTTAGTGTATCAGTATTTCCTTACATCCCTCGTATTTATGTTTCTGGATTCATCAGATTTAAAAGGATGCCTAAGAAAATGTGTGTGTTTCAGAACGTGTGTGTTTCTGCTGAAAATGGGGATAATGCTTCCATGTTCAGTGATGGAAAGTTATCTTTTTATCCTATCTTCAGTGGTGTTTTATTACATTTCTTATAGCGTTGAACATTTATAACTTCATTTTTCAGGATAGTGGCAGCAGGATCCATTTATATCAGTGATTACACCCACTTACAGCTGCATCCTTGTTTTACCTCATCCTGATGGATGACACATGGCTTCACTCCTGAAACACGGGTATGCTATGTTGTTGTGCCAGCTGTTTAAAAATGAAACAAGCTCTTGTTTCTTCTTGATTATAAAATGTTTAAAAAGTCACATTCATTTATTTGCACACATAAACCCGTCCAATCAGCTGCAGCGTCAGATTGCTAACATGCTGGATTTAATGAAGGGCAGGAAGCGTTGTGTTTAATGAGATTTAGCATCTCCATGAGCGGGTGCCTCCAACTCAAATCATGTTAAGATGTTTAGAGCCGCAGCAGCTCGTTCACCTCTTAGCGCTCGCACCCAGCCATTTTGGCCCCTCCCTCTTCAATAAATGCAAGTGATTTCCATAAAATATTCTTAAAGAGGTCCATTATTATTACCATAACGTTTCATCTTCCACCATGGCTAAACTTCAATCAGTTTTGCATTTTAAATGCATTAAATGTCTCCATAAACTCTTCTAATCTCCACTCGAGTCATTTTTCTTCTCTAACTGCTTTGTGTGCAAAGGGAAACTGCTATTAAAGACATTAATTACAGTCTTCTGCTATTTCCCCCCTCCTCTCAGTCTTTTCCTACTTATTTCTGTTTGGAAAGTTCGGTCTCATCCAGTGTTTTGAAACAAGTGTGTAATTACGTTGTTTATCAGAGCGTATAGCTGTGTTTCTCTTATGATGTGTGGTGTTAATTACTCCGAAACATTTGATGCACACGTGAAAAACTGGGGGAGTAAAGCCACAAATTCATTTTTTACTTCAGCAAATCTGCTTTTATTGGCTCTCTGCTTTGGTGTTTATCGAGCTGGAGCTAGGAGGAAGTCTCGACTTTAATACCAAGACTGAGTTGTTTGGATATAACAGGTGTTTATTCTGGAAAAAATGACCTTTAAAATAGAAAATAGGCAAGTGAAAAATAAATTTTCATTTGGCATTTATCCAAACTCTAATGTAACCTTAGCTGGAGCCTTTATCCACAGATGTCCCGAGGTGAAACATCCAACCTAACATCCCAGCTGCGATCAGCTGTGTGACAGCTGATGATGGACAGTGACAGCTGGATTGTTGGTGGTGTGCAGTCTTAGCATGATGCATCTCTATTGTCTGTGGAATGTTGATTACCTTCATCAAATGTTCACGAGTTCCTCTCTTCTCCACAATGTGTCAGTCCTGAGCTGAGTTTGTTCAAACCCAGCAGCACTGATTAGAAAAGCATAAACGGTTTCACGGTTAGCATTCTGGAGCATGACATAATAAAAGGCTTATTCATTTAACAAGTTTTATGGATTTCAAAATTAATTAGTTTGGTGGGACTTTGGGAAATTCAGTAACAGGATGTTAAAGCAAAGAGTTTCTAAACAGACGGTTGGAACAGAGGAGGGAACAAAAATCAAGATGTTCACTGTTGGGCAACCGTTTCTTTCTGCTCCATCGTTTTAACCCCTTAAAATCGAACCACGTCATTTTGTTCATTACAGTGTGAAGTAGAATAAAAGTCTATTATTAACATTTGAAACGTTTACGATCAGTAAATCTCAGAAGACAAATGATTAAAACTTTTTAAACCACAAGTTTCTCATTTGTCCACAGTTTTACACTCTTAACAAGCTCTTGTGCTTAATCAAACTTGTATACTAATTTGGCTCCAAAAATTAACTTAATGTAAAGGAGGAAAAGGGTGGCTGAATGAGGGCAAAACACACCGGCAGCACGTCCGAAGAGTCCAGCAATCTGCTCCATGTTTCTGTTTAAATGGGTCAACATTCCTCATAAAACTAACTTGCTGCCTTCAAAGAAACACTCAGCGTTTTGTAGAGTTATATTTGAACTTAAATTGACTTTCTGTTTCCAGATGATCCAGAATCAAAGGCTGAAGATGGTGACGCAGAAGGAGAAATGCTGCGAGACATTAAAACTGATGAGGTAAACACACAGAAGTGCACACAAAATATTCTTCCAACGATAATATTTGTCATTATAAAGACATGTAATAAATATTTGATTCATTTAGCCTCTTATAGGAGCGCACATACTTTTTCTTATTATTATCTATACCAACTAGAGATGCACCAAAACCCCATTCTTCTGTATACGACTACGTAGATTTGAGAAATCTCCTACAGGACAGCTGTCAAACTGATAGTTTGAATGATTCCAGAGCAGCTTAGCTTCTCTTGGGTTATTGTATATTTTATATAGAAAATGAGTTTTTGATCATATCAGAAGTTTATGCAGAAAAACAACAACTTAATAACATCTCCTACTGTTTAAATGTACTAAATAAGTCAAACGTGAAACTCTTGTAGTAACGTTTTTAGCCAGGTGAGTCCCAGTGTGGGAAAGGCAGTCCTACATAAACAAACACATTTGCCGATGACATTCCGTAGAACGTTCCAAAGTGCATCAGATTATATGGTAATACACCTTTCCATATAGGCAGCAGTCTGGCACCTTCTGCAGAAAAAAAAAAAAGTTTTCTTCAGCTGATTAGAACCGAGTGGCTCTTCAACGTTCTGCTTGTTGAAAAAAGAAAAAAAAATAAGATAAATAAATAAATAAAAAGTTCTGCATGTTGTTCTGAAGCACCCGTTTGTTCTGACAAAAGATGTTCAATATTAAAATGTAATATCCAAAATATTCTGTATGACTTTTGTACTTGTAATGACCAAACCTTTACATGCCATCAGCTTTATCTCCTCTCACTCAAAATATTATAATATGACACATCTGTGGTATCATTTTACAGATCTTTTAGTTTATCTGTTTACTTGTCATAATTTGTACAGGAAGTGTTTAAAGTTTAGGCACACACGATAAGAGATATGTGAAGATAGCGTTCTAAAATAACTGAGTTTTCCTTTGATTTTAGAAGGATGGGAACTCCAAAGAGTTAGACTATTTCTTTGTATCGATAGAACAGCTGACATCGAACATCCCAGGATGGGAGCTTTAATCAGCTCTTGATTCTTTTGTATTGCAGCTGTTAGCCAATAAAATGTACTACTGCTTTGAGAGCATTGATCAGCTGTTAGCAGCACAAATCCTGCTACTATTCTACTCAGATTTACTCCTTGATTTGGTGATGAAGAGTTGAATTACACATCCTGTTCTGTTTGGGTTCCTGCTTTGCAGAAATCTGAAGTTCATCAACATTCCACAACGGAGAGCATAGAAAAGAAAGAAGAAGAGGTAGAAACTCCCGAAAACATCTCAGAGGTAGATGTGTCTGCAAACATGGGGACCAAAAACGAAAAACAAGAGACAAACATGGAAGAAGAAGAAAAGAAGGATGCTGATGAGCAAAATGATGAGAAACTTGAAGAGCTGAAGGCAGAAGAAGAGGTAGAAACTCCCGAAAACATCTCAGAGGTAGATGTGTCTGCAAACATGGGGACCAAAAACGAAAAACAAGAGACAAACATGGAAGAAGAAGAAAAGAAGGATGCTGATGAGCAAAATGATGAGAAACTTGAAGAGCTGAAGGCAGAAGAAGAGGTAGAAACTCCCGAAAACATCTCAGAGGTAGATGTGTCTGCAAACATGGGGACCAAAAACGAAAAACAAGAGACAAACATGGAAGAAGAAGAAAAGAAGGATGCTGATGAGAAAAATGATGAGAAACTTGAAGAGCTGAAGGCAGAAGAAGAGGAAACAACAGAAAACGAGCAGAACGTGGTCACAGAAGAGAGTAAGAGTCAGGTTAACGATGAAGAGCAGGAACCAAACAGCAGCGCTGCCGATGGAGATCAGACCGAGGAGAATAAAGAGAAAGAGCATATACTTAATACACCTTCTGAGGCGGAGGTAGAGCAGGACAGCAATACAGAGGAAGATAAGCAAGAGAAGGATGATGGTAACAGGGAGGAAAGCAGCAACATTAATGATGAAGAGTCAGGCGAAGAGCAGAGAGAGACAGAAATCAGCAACAGTCCAGCTGGGACTCGGTTAGAGAACGAGACGAAAGAAAGTGCAGATGATAGAATTAGCAGCAGAAGCAGCATCCGGGATGAAGATGAGAAGAAAACAACAGAAGTTACAGAAGAGGAGAGGACAGCGAATGGAGAAGTAAGTGGAGACACCTGTCCAGGTGCTGCTGTTAAACCAGAGAACGCTGAAGAAGACAGCAGCAAAAAAGAGGAGGATTAGTAAAGAGAATAAAATGCTGCTAATTTAAAACCAAGCTTCTCAGCAAGTAAAAAGGATGAAAAGAAAGTAGTTTTATTATTATGAGATGCTAATATATTTGAATGTAAATCAGCCAATTGATGACGATCAAAAGAATAAAAACATTTATTCTGTTTTCATTAAAACTCTTTTACCTCTGGAGTAACTCTGTGGTATCAAGATGATTGTCTGGGTGCTTTTTCAGTCATTTCTCCAAATGAACTGTTCATCATGAGCTAAGCTACATGTACATGTCTAACTAAACACCAAATCCTATCAGATGTTTGTAAAATGACACAATACGAGCTTTTATTGTGCAGCCAGTATGTGTTCACATGTGTACGTGGTGAGAAAATAAACTCTACAAGTCTCATGTCAAAGTTTTATTCTTTCACGTGTTTAGCTGTTTTAGATTGTTGGCCTTTAGAGAGAGACCAAGCCAGGTGGAGGAGTATCAGCAGGTGGTGTTGGTGAGTTAGGGGTAGACTGGGGCAGGACGTTGAATGGTGTTTTGGGGTAACGGTCTAGTCAACCTTTGTTCCAACCCTCATGTACAGCAACAGTGTTATTTATTACCAAAAAGATGGGAGCAGAAACAAGCAGCTGGAATAAGTTTCCTCTGCTGGACTTGCAGAACGGACGAGGAGATCAAAGGCAAGTCACTGCTCCTCCACATCAAAAGAAAATTCAGTTTCAGTCCTTTCCAGAATGAGCCGTTTCAAGGCTCTGTCACTTTAAGAAAACAAGTTGGAGCTGGCCATGCCCCCCATTTTCTACTCAGGCTGATATAAGAAGAAGCTCCAATGTCTGGGAGGGGCTCAGAGTAGAGCTGCCTCTCCAGCAGCACTTTCATATAACCTTTGAGTTTTTTATAACTGAGTTCTCGAGACATGAAAGTAAATTTCACTATAGTCGGTCTCTATCCGACAACACTGTTGCATCTTTTAAATCAACTGTTCCATATGTACTGTCCTCAGCATCTCAGAGGAACGTAGCAGAGGGCAATATCTTCAATTCTAGCCCCTCACAAATTGATGATCTAGTTCATAATGTTACTTCCTCTTTACGTGTGGCATTAGATGATGTTGCCCCTTTAAAAAAGAAGGTAATTAGGGACAGGAAGTTGGCTCCCTGGTTAAATTCTCATTTACGAGCTTTAATACAAAACTCTAGCAAATTGGAGAGAACATGGCGCTCTACGCACCATGAGGAGGCCTACCTATCCTGGAAAAATAGTCTTGTGCTTTATAAAAATAAGCTTCAACAAACCAGAACTGCTTATTTCTCAGTGTTAATTGAGGAGAATAAGAATAAGAACCTCATCTGTGTTTGAACCGTTTTGATCCAGTTGAGCTTTCAGAGTTATCAAAAATATTAGCTTCATCTAAACCTTCTGCTTGCATTTTAGATCCAATCCCAACCAAATTATTTAAAGAAGCATTTCCTTTGGTTACTGCCCCCATTCTAGATATAGAGCTCCGGGAGTTGACGTCACGTTTCCCGGCATGCAACAGTTCAAATCGAAACGGCGCCATATTGGCATGCAGAAGCCGGCAGATGGACTATTTGTTATTGTCAGAAAACTCAATCAAACGGGAAATATGGTAGATTCCTGTTGTGCCCCAGGATGCAGAACAGACGTGGATGACATAAGGAATGAGCCATCTGCAGGATTCCCCAAGATCTGGAGCGCTGCAAACGTTGGATCATTGTAATAAAACGCGCTAGTGACCGGGCTAAAATGATACTGTGGGATCCCGAGAGAAAAGGTTTTCACTTATGCAGCGACCGCTTCATATCAGGTACTTAAACTAACGTTTCCTCAACTGTGTATGGTATTTGTTTTAAATGCTTTTATTACGATTCTTAGTGGGCTTCCTAAACTTATTTTGGTGTGGCTTTTTCTGTCTTATTACTCATAGCAACAAGTAAACATCACGTAAAACGTTGCCTCGTGAGTTCTGCGTGCTGCCGTTTACGTGTTTTATGATCACAGCAATTAACCGGCTAAGCTGTATTTCATTTTTAAGCAATGGTTGATCAATTGTCAGATTACACATAAAAAGCACTTTGGATTGCTATTATCTGTCTCACAGAGACGGATCTCCGACAGATCCTGAGACGCTCCTGCCTGACATATTTATTTTATTCACAGAAAAAAATCAAACTAGTGATTTCTCTTGGCGTTCAGTTTATACATTCAAACAGCACAGCACTCTATTTAAACTACTTATGTGTAAATCTGTTATTTGTCCATCCATTTTCATCCGCTTATCCGGAGTCGGGTTGCGGGGGCAGTCGCGCCGAGAGGCCCTGACTTCCCTCTCCCCAGCCACCGGAGCCAGCTCCTCCGGGTAAATCCCAAGGGGTTCCCCGGCCAGGTCCGGTATGAAGTCCGCTCCGACAGCTTCTGGCGTTTTTAAAAAGTATCCCAGGGGCACGGTAAGGGTCGGAGATATTTAGTCTATTTAATTTCTGACTATATAAAACGATTTCTTCGGTTTTAAAGTGTGAAGTAAACTCCGACGAAGTAAAATCCAAGCGGATCCCGTTCACGTTCATGGTTAAGATCCGTGTTTGTTTAGCTTTTTTTTTCTGCCAAAATGGCGTCTAGTAACTGAGAGTCACCTGGGGTCCGGAGCTCTATAATCCATCTATCCATAGTAAATGGATATGTACCACAAGATTTTAAGGTTGCTGTAATCAAACCTTCACTTAAGAAGCCTTCTCTGGATCCAGATGACCCAATGAATTATAGACCAATATCTAACCTTCCATTTTTATCCAAAGTCCTGGAGAAAAAAGTGGCCATCCAAGTATGTGAGCATTTAAACACTAATGCTCTGTTTGCGGAATTTCATTCTGGTTTAAGAGAGTATCACAGCACTGAAACTGCATTAGTGAGAGTTACAAATGATATTCTCATGGCCTCAGATAAGAATCTTGTGTCTGTTCTAGTCTTGTTAGATCTCAGTGCTGCCTTTGACACAGTTGATCACAATGTTCTTTTAGAAAGACTTGAACATGTTGTAGGGATCAAAGGAACAGCGTTAGGCTGGTTTAAATCCTACCTGTCTGACAGATTTCATTTAGTAAATGTACATGACAAATCGTCTTCATACTCCAGGGTTACTTGTGGAGTACCACAGGGTTCAGTGCTTGGAGCAATTCTTTTTACTATATATATATATGCTCCCAATACGTAAAATCATTAGACAGCATGGGATAAACTTCCACTGTTATGCTGTCGATACACATTTATATCTTTCCATTATCCCAGATGAACCTAATCGGTTGGGTAGATTACAGGCTTGTCTTGAGGACATAAAAAATTAGTTGACTCTAAACGTTTTGCTTTTAAATCAAGACAAGACGGAAGTTCTCATCTTTGGACCAGAAATCCAGAAAAGGAAATTGCTTAGCCAATCAGCTGACCTGAATGGCATTAAATTAATCTCCGAGAACAAAGTCAGGAATCTTGGTGTTATCTTTGACCAGGACATGTCATTCAAATCCCAGGTTAAACAGGTTTGTAGGATTTCCTTTTTCCACATTCGGAATATTGCTAAGATTAGAAGCATCCTTTCCAGGAGTGATGCTGAAAAACTAGTTCATGCATTTATTACATCAAGACTGGATTACTGTAATTCATTACTCTCAGGAAGTCCACAGAATGTAGTTAAAAGTCTTCAGCCTGTCCAAAATGCTGCAGCTAGAGTTCTGATGAGAATTAAAAAGACAGATCATATGTCTCCTGTCTTAGCTTCCCTACATTGGCTACCTGTTAAATTCAGAATAGATTTTAAGATCCTCCTTCTCACATATAAAGCTCTTAATAATCAAGCTCCATCATACATCAGTGATCTGATTGTTCCATATGTTCCTAACCAAGCACTTCGCTCTCAGACTGCAGGTTTACTGGTGGTTCCCAGAATATCTAAAATTAGGAAGGGAGGCAGAACTTTTAGTTATCAGGCTCCTCTCTTGTGGAACCATCTCCCAGCTTTAGTCCGTGAGGCAGACACCTTGTCTACTTTTAATAGACAAGGTGAATAGGCTTAAAACATTTTTATTTGATAGGGCCTATGGTTAAAATCTGATGTTAGCCTAAATCTGGACAAGTGTGGGAGTAGAGGGAGGTGGAGTGTACAGTCGGTAAAGACGGCTCTCCCTTGCCCTGCCTCCAACATGCCTCCATCTAAAAAGGCTAGGTTATCCAGAGTTATCTCTGTAGTTATGCTGCTATAGGCTTAGACTGCTGGAGGATACACTGGCCACTTTTCACACTCTACTACTTTCTTCTACAATCTGCTCTTTAACTGTATTATTTTCTATTTCAGCTGTTAACTTTATTTTCTCTCTAAGTGTTTTTCTCCCCAGAAGAAGCTACAATGATGTTCTGCTGAGCTGTGGTGGCCTCATAGAGGGGGCTATCGACTAGCACACTGCTGCTAACCACTTAAACATTCTCTCTCTCCTAATAATAACTTTTTGCTTTCCTTGACGTTGGATGTGCTACTGCTGGTTTACCCGTTTAATTATAGATTCACTAGAATAAACACTATAAAGTTTTTCTCTCGCCAACTAGAATATTTACTAAAACATCACAATGTAACCATAGACACATTGCTTGGTGTGTGTGTGTGTGTGTGTGTGTGTGTGTGTGTGTGTGTGTGTGTGTGTGTGTGTGTGTGTGTGTGTGTGTGTGTGTGTGTGTGTGTGTGTGTGTGTGTGTGTGTGTCTGCTCTGTCTTCTCGATCCCCAGTGAGTCGTGGAGGATGGCTGCTTATACTGAGCCAGGATCCTCTGGAGGTTTCTTCCTGTTAAAAGGGAGTTTTCCTCTCCACTGTTGCTGCATGCTTGCTTAGTATGAGGATTGCTGTAACGTCACTGACACTAGTCAGTGACTTGATGCAATTTGCTGGGTTCCTTATCTAGGAAACATTTTTTTCTGATTGGCTTAATGAACTGGCCTGAATTGGAATGTTTATTATGTGAAGTGCCTTGAGACGACTTTTGTCGTGATTTGGTGCTATATAAATAAAATTGAATTGAATTGAATTAGGGAGTCGGAACTGTATCAGCTTTGTTCTGCAGGAACGGTTTGCTGTGTCAGCTTCAGCATGTAGCAGGGTTTTTGACAGCTTGTCAAAAGAGGCTCTGGGTTAAAGAGGTTTTTGCTCCAGATGGCCGGTCCGTAGCTTTCTCTAGAACTGACTCACAGTGAAGTAAGCTCTGTTTTAATGATCACCATATTTTGATCATCTGGCCAATCGGGATGTGCCATGATAAAAAGTGTTAAAAACAAACCTCAGAACATCACGCCTTCTTTCAGATACAGGATGCTCTGATTTGTGGGTAAGAAAATATCTATGTGCAGTGACGTTAACTTTAATTTATATCTTATGAACATTGTTTATGAGTGCAGATAATGATTCACTTGTTAATCAAACATTACTGATCATAATATCAAAATGTTTCATTGTAATAATAAAATTCATTTCAACTTCATTCAATTAGGTGCAGATTAATCAAAACATTTCATTAGTATTCATTCAATTGAAATTCAATTCAAAAATACTTTATTAATCCCAGAGGGAAATGAGTTCATTCAACCATATTATTATTTAATGATTATTTAACTTATGAGCTGTAAAAGTTCCTTTTCATGAGAGTGAGCAATCCTGCAGTCTTATCAAAAGAAGGCTTTGTTTGGGAACACAGGCTGGCATCTTGTTCTTCCTGAAATGTCAACAAGGTTTGCAGAACCTTGTGGCTTGTTGGAAGGTAGAATGTAAAATCCACCTTAGAGGGTGGGATTAGGTCTGTAGATGACCGGTGGCATGTCGGTCAACTTGTAGGTGAAAACTGACCATTCCTGGACCTTACAATATACACACCTTCTCATTCATTGTGTTTGCTGTATTTTGATGACCATCACTACAAAGGGGCCAAACACCTCTGGGAACTCCTTCAAGACTGTTGGAAAACCATTTCAGGTGACCACCTCTTGAAGTTCATCTAGAGAATGCCAAAAGTGTGCAAAACAGTATTCATAGCAAAGGGTG